CCTCGGCGGCCGGGCTCCCCAAGGGCTCGGGGCTGGGTTCGGGGGCCGGATGGGCCGCCGTGGGTGCTTCTGGCAGATTTAGCCTTGCCGCTTTTGGACTAGAGAGGCTTTGCTTCTGATCTGTGTGGACTTTTCTTTTTTTTGTAAAACAGTTTTAATTGCCTACGTGTAGCGAAATACTGATTCCTTGAAATTCAGACTAATGCAGTACCCACTGTTTAGATAAACTGCATGACTCCTTTAAGCTCTGCATGTTTTCAGCTAGAAATAACACAGGCCCCTTAAAAAAAAAAGAATTTTTAATCGTTGGATTTTAAAACATGGTCTCGCTATGTCCTACGCACAGTTCAAGTTACTTAAGGGAACATTTTGTCGTTACTTCAGAAGACCAACCTAAAGTCTGCTTACTGAACTAAAATAATTCTCTATGTTATTCAAGACATATGGCTGTAAATAACATTTGGACGTCAAAAAGTCATTTATTGGGGCCAGGCCATTTATTGATTTAGCTCAGTGGTCCTGCCGTCTACCTCGAAGCACAAGGTCCCGGGGGTGGGGAGTCATTTATTTATTTGAAAATTATTATTATCCAAGAAGGACTGACAAAAAGCAGTACCAAGATAATGATCCTGCAATTCAGACTGGAGGTGATGCCAGACCTCTTCACTGAACAATGATCCTCGGAGACCTTACCGTCTCATTTAAAATCAGCTGAAAATGTCCTGTGGTCTAAGAAACAAAATACTAAATCGGACACTAAATACTATTTAGTGCTATTTGAGTCTTAAGGTAGAATCAAAATCAGATCACGGGATGAAATGAACAATTAACACCTACTTGCTGAATGTTTTCTTTGGGATTACCATTATCTATCTACTGGAATTCACTAGATGCTGTGGAATAGTTTCTCAAGAAAATGATCAAAGTCTAACTTGTAGGTTACATGTGCTAAATAATTTTCAAGTTTAAAAAAATGGAAATCCAACGTGGTAGTGCACACCTGTAATCCAGCACTCTGGGAGGCTGAGGTGACAGGATATCAAATTCAAGCCCAACACAGGCAGCTCAATGACTTAGCAAGACCCTGTCTTAAAATTTTTAAAATGTAAAGGACAGGGTACAGTTTAGTGTGAAGGCCCTGGGTTCAGTCATCAGTATGGGGGGGGGAGAAAGAAAGGAAAGGAAGGAAGGAAAAAGAAAAAATGGTTGCTCAAGGTATGTTTTAGAGCTAATTATTACTTATTTATTATTTAGTAAACATAGGGCATAATACCTGCTGTCTCTACATCTCTAATTCACACTTTGAAAAGAATTGCCTGGAGCCAGGTAGGGCTGCTTACTGCTACCACTGCCTCTTTTTTATTACCTGTTGCTGGAGGAAATTAGAGGATAGATTCTACTGAAGGTAGCAGCATCCTGTGTAGTAATTAGGAAAATGGCACCCACTGCCCTATTCTTTGTTGTAACCCAAATAGAACTATTTGTGCAAAGATAAAGATAACAGAATTGAAAAGAAAGGGTGGGGGGAAGAAAAAAGCCGGGGGCATGGAGGCACATACCTGTAATCCCAGCACTGGGAGGCTGAGACAGGAGGATGGATGCTGTGAGTTCGAGACCAGCCTGGACTACACAGTGAGTTCCAGGTCAGTCCCAACTACATAGTGAGACCCTGTCTCAAAAAAAAAAGGGGGGGGGAAACTGAGGACCTTGGAAGGGTTGTTGAACTATATAAAGACTACCTTCTAATCCACTTTTCCAAGGTTATTTTTAGTTCAATTGTTTATCCATGACACATAAGTTTTTCTACACCCCTCCCCCTTTTCTTTTTTAGACAGGGTCTTGCTATGTAGTTCAGGCTGACCTTGAACTTGCAGAGATCCTCCTGCCTCAGCCTCCTGAGTAGTGGGGTTACAGGTGTGTGTCACCACCCCAGCCCCAATTAGGATTCTTAAACTGTGCCTGTGCTAGCACAAGAAACTAGACCCTATCTCCACCCTTACAGTGAGAGACATTTCTTTCTTCATTCTTTTGTTTTATTTTAGCTATTTTGAGATGGGGGTATTGCTATGCTGGTCTTGAATTCCTAGACGCATGTGATCCTGTTTCAGCTCCCCAAGTGCTGGGCTTCTGGGTACATGCCACTGTGCCCAGCTCATTATTTTAAAGTAAAAGAAAATTGAAAAGATGCAAAGTCAGTATTCAAAAATCAATAGCTTTTCTATGCACCAATAGTGAACTAGCTGAGAAAGAAATGAAGAAAACTATTCCATTCACGACAGTTAAAACCTGAGCTGGGCGTTGTGGTGCACACCTGTAATCCCAGCACTCGGGAGGCTGAGGCAGGAGGGTCGCTGTGAGTTTGAGACTAGCCTGAGCTACATAGTGAGTTCCAGGTCAGTCTCAACTACAGAGTGAGACCCTGTCTCAAAAGAAAACAAAAAAAACAAAAACAAAAATCAAACAAACAAACAAACAAAAAAAAAAACCCTGGAAGTCAACCTAACCAAGACCTCTACAAGAAAATTGTAAAACACCGGAGAAAGAAATCCAAGAAGATGCTAAAAGGTGGGAAGACCACTCATATTCATGGGTTGGCAGAATTAACATTGTTAAAATGGCCATAGTACTGAAAGCAGTCTACAGATTGGATACAGTCCCTATCAGAATTCCAATGACAGCATTCGTAGAAATAGACAAACCAATCCTAAAATTCACACAGAAACACAAAAGACCCAGAATAGCCTTCGCAAAAAGAGCAAGACCGGAAGCAATCACAATTACATAGCCATAGTAACAAAACCACCGTGGCACTGGCACAAGCACAGACGCACAGACCAATGGAATGACACAGGGGACACAGGAACAAATCCGCACAACTACTGACCGGTTTGGCCATCTGATTTTTTTTTTTGTACCGGGGATTGAACTCTGGTCCTTGCACTTGCAAGGCAGGCAGTGGAACCACTGAGCTAAATCCCTGGCCTGAACCACCTGATTATTTGGTGGGGGGGAGACAGGGTCTTGCTCTGTGGGTCAGATTACCCTTGAGCTCACTATGTAGCCCAGGTTGACCTCAAACTCAAGGCGATCCTGCCTCAGCCTCCGGAGTCCTGGGACTGCAGGAGTGAGTCACTGCACCAGGCAACCAACCATCTGACTTTTGACAAAGGAGCCAAAGCATACGATGGAGAAATGATAGCTTCTTCCACAAATTGTGCTGGGAAAACTGGATATCCATATGTACAAGATTGGACGTAGACCCAATTCTAACACTGTGCAAAAATCAACTCAAAATGGATCAAGACCTGGGAATAAGACCTAAAACTTCTTTTGTTTTTCTAGACAGGGTCTCGCTGTGAAGTTCGGGCTGGC